CAGATCGCAATCTTGATTGCCTTACTTTACATAATACTGCTTCATTTTTTAAAACAGTTAACACCACTAATTAATCTAAGTTCACAAATACCTGAAATTTTCATACTGCGAGGTAATCCAGAAGGTAACAATATGCAGAGTATAATTATATACCGATTAATAATATTGATGATGCTTTTTTCATGTCTTGAATCTCTTTCAAAAATAAAAGACCACTACTCTAGTATATGTATCGAATAATAAAGATTTTTCATTCATAATTTTGTATTACATTTAGTCATCAATTATCAATTAAACATGTTCCTAGATAAAATCTTAAAAAAAAAAAAAAAAAAAAAAAAAAGATAGAACTTTATTTATTTTATTTATTTATTTTTTTTTTTTTTTTATTATTTTTTTAAAATTTTTTTAGTTAACCAAAAGTGTAAACCCAACGGGATTATTTTTCAGTTATATAAAAATAAAATGGTAATATGTGTGTTTTGGACTGTAGCTACGAAATAACGAAACTAATTTTCTTTTAAATCCATCTTTTATTCTATTCGAAAATTAACCGCTCAATTAGCAGTCATTCAAAAATCCAAGCAACAAATTTCCCATCGAACAAAGAGTACCTATTTTTATATTGTCCTTTTGAAAGAATCATTTACTTCTCTGTTGAAGATTGTGTATATAATCTCTGGACCATTTCTTCCATATTATTTGGTTAATTTTAACAATTTTCTGCCAGCGGGAAAGTCTATTGTCGGAAATTTCTGTTATACAAGGTTCAGGTAGAGCATTAAGAGGCCTTCCGATTAAAAAATGACCAGGGGGTCAAAGTTTCGAAGACATTTGGATCTGAAGATAAAGGTAATAGAGATCTACTATTTAATATAACTTCAATTTGACTTATAACAGTCAAAAATTCTTCGAGAGTCAATTTTGCATTTCCGGTAGTTCGTTTTATATGATGTTTAAAGGATTTCACCCGGCCTCATATATACCGCCGAAATTGAGAGAAAGCGGTGGATTGAATTTCCAAACGATTTTGATTCAGAAGCTAAATATGACGACAGACTAGGGGAACTTTTGACGAGGTTTAACAGCCTTTTCAAATCGGCGTTGGCTCCGACAAAAGTTGGTAGCGTTATCTGAATATATAGGCCGCGTCGCGCGAAAAATCTTTTTAATGTTGCAATTACGGCCTGCGATGTTAGATCTGTAACAAAATCGACATGTATCGCTCGAGTAACTAAACATAGAAAAATAACAACATATACTTTATTTAAGATATCTCTTCTTTGATTTTTATATTTTATGTAACAGTGTCCACATAAATCAATTCCAGCTACGGAAAAAGGGGGACTCACAGAAACTCTTTCCTTCGGCAATGGTGCCATAAGTTGTTGGGCTATTTTAGGTTTATTTTTAAAACAGATAATGCAGTTATGTACTATTTTACGAACAGTGTTTCTGCCGTTCAGTGGCCGAAATTCCTGTCGAACACAATGCAGCAAAGTCTGAGCACCAACATGTAAATTTTTTAAATGGAAGTATTGCATAATTACAGTAGTTAAGTTATGATCCCTAGGCAGCAGAATAGGATGCTTTTGGTCATAGGATAAATATGATTTATTTAATATGCCACCTACCCTAAGTATTTCATTTTCGACGAAAGGATTTAAATTACTTAAGTGACTATCCTTTATAATTTTACCATATCTAAGGGCTTGAATTTCTTCTTTGAATACTATTCGCTGTACTAGCCTTACCATCGCTAGCTTGGCATAAGTAAATTCATCTCTAGTTATAGGACCTGATGTCTATCTCGAAAACCTAATTTATTTATTACCAGTCCTAAGGTAAGTTGGAAATAACGTCAAATATCCCAAATTTTCAAGAATTAAAAATTTTAAATATTTCTAATTAATATCTCTGTCAGTTTAAATTAAATATCTCTGTCAGCTTAAATTAAATATCTCTGTCAGCTTAAATTAAATATCTCTGCAACTTTTTACCATCCATTTTGATTTATATTTTTTATAACAATATAAAAAATTTCCTAAAACTGATTTTTTTTTAAATGTGAAAATACCAGAAAATGAATTTCTGCGTCATTTAAAACACTTTTGTAACTGGAAGTACATATATCTACGGTCAGTGTAAACGAAAATAAAAGCCGGATAAGGATTCTCATGGACATTGTGCATATACATCGGGAAAGCTTATCTCAGCTACACAAAATGTTTAAGAGGGCAATAGAAAAATTATTTTATATTGATTTTTTTATTATTATTAACTTATATTGTATATTCAGTTTGGCGCACCTTTCTATTTGTGCGCCTAAGGCTAGTGCTTCATTCTTCGCGCCTTTGATCCGGTTCTGCTTGCAGAAGCTAAAGAATCTGAATTCCAAGTGAGGTCAGAGAGATCATGCGAATTCACAAACGCTCATGTGACCTCTGAAGGTGACTAGAAATTCTGTGCAATATTTTGCTACTTCTCGATTCCTCTCTCGCTACTTTAGATAAATAATGTTCATGTTCTGTGTTTATGCCTGGGCACAGAATTTTGTGCCTGCGTTTGTTACTCGCAAGTGAAAAAGGTACGATCAATCTTGGAAAATCGTCTTGCAAATTTTACTTACATTAAGCGAAATCTCTTTGTTTAATGTCTCAAATATCATAAACACTTCACGTACTAAGAACACCACATGAATATTTAATACAGACAGCGAAAAAACTAAAATAGTGACAGTGCATTATGTTACAGGTTTCACAATTCTTATTCACAGTTAGAAGTTAAATGATTTGAATTTATTAGATTACGGCAAAGCACACAAAGGCTAGCTGCCTGAGGGGTAGGATACCTTCGTGGAGGACTTTCTAGGGCTAACTTGTTTGTAGTCACATTTAATAGCTAAATAAAATGCATTGAAATAAAAGAGCTTATTAGTATATCGAAGAGTTTATCGTTGATTCTATACATGCATCATTTATTCATCTGTTTTTGCATCTTTTCTTTCGTCTCGTAACATTTTATTTATTTTCGTTTTCATGTTTTATTTATATCTTTATTTGAAATTAACCGTTTAATAATAACATAATTTCAAAAAAAGTTAAATAAAATAAATAACTTTTTTAAGTTAAAATGTTTTTGAAATTGAAGATAACAAGATTATTAGTAAGATGTTTGCATTTCATGCGTCATGGTTTTCGCGTAGTAAATTTATAACTATTTACACATATAATGTAGACACTTTGTCGAGATTAATTATCTTTTTAAGATTTATACTCTTGCTACAGCTAGTAAAATACATTTTCAAAGTCATAGACTATGTACTTTAGGTAGAAAATTACTGTCTAACACAGTGGTTCTTAACCTTTTTTGTCCCGCGTACGCCTCCCACCAATGCTAGATGGTCATCCCCCATCCTTTCCCTAACGTGAAAAGTGCATATACATTTATTTAAATTCAGATTATTTTTAATATGTTTTATATATTATACAGGAAAAAGTATAGAACATATTGATGAATAACAAAGCTTGAATAAAAGTAGTTTTTTTATACTCATAAATTAAAATTAAATACTTAACAGGTTAGTAAAAGGATGAATGCATTCCCCTTCCCCTGAAACTATGAAATACCTCTCAGGAGAAATCCACCCTGGTCTAACAGTCCTATTTTTAAGTTGTCATCTACAGCAAACACGCTATTTACAAATAATAAAATTCTCTAGCAGTAAACATATTACAATATTTTTATTTTATTTATTAATTAATTTATTTTTAATTCAAAGGATAAAAGGTTTGGCTTTGTTAGATGACAAAAAAGGGCGCTATTTTCAATTAAAATTTTGAATTTAACAATTATGCGGTTTCTATTTAGTATACATGTCGCAGGCATATACAATTAAATATCTCGCATTATTAAAGACGGAGAATTTTCCCGCTCCTTATTTATATGTGTGCAGACTCGCACTACACAGATTAATATTGAGGCTTTAGGTTGAGCTGTGAAAGATCCTATAGTAAGTTTATCTTTCAGTGATTTGTCATGCCTATTCAAAAGGTAACTCTTCAAACAGCCTTTCAAATGTTCCTGGCAGATGGCTGTCATTCTTTCATGTCTCACTCCGAAGAAATGTAAGGGAATTGTGCATTGATTGCTATACAGTATGCCAGGAAGAAAGGAGCAAACGTACCAAAGAATGTGAACACATTCAGATTGACTGCATTTACTGCTCTTTCTTCATTGTCACATTTTGTCTGTTAATTGCATTATCCAAAAATCTCCTATGGAGCTTTCCTCCGGGAAAACAGGCTGTTTCATGTCACAACATTTCTCCTTGTTTCCGTGTTTAGACTAAGTATATATATCTTAAGTGTATTCGAAGTGAAAAAAAAAAAAAAAAAAATTATCTCAAGAAGAAACTGCCGCCATTTTATTCACGGCTACAAATGTATCTGATTTTTCAAAAGTTTCTTGGAAATTCGGACTTTGAAAATCAACCGAATACAGATAAAGTCTATTTTTATTTTATTCGTTAGTGAGAATGATACGAAAGATAAAGCTGTTGAGAATTAAGATTATTCTTGAATAAACATTGGATGTTAATAACCAGGCCAAATTATTATTATTATTGTTGTTACTTTAATAATTCCACTGAACCAATGCAGGATATATTATTAAATTCTCTCATACTATAGGGATATCTCTTTTAAATGATGTATATGATGCTTTACAAATAAATACGCAGGATTACAGTGGATTAAAAAAGTATTGGCAATTGCTTATATTTGAACATATTAATTAACCGACGAAGGGACTGATAATTTAAGCAAAGAGGAATTTAAGTAAGATGGCAATAAAAACTTAAATGTAGTGCAACTATGATTTTAATGTGCCTTTAATAAAATTGAAGCAAAACATAAATATGCATGTTAAGAGATTATTGCAAAAACATACAGCAACATGTAGGGGAAAAAAAGGAGATATTTAATAATTTGTAAGCATACCTTTTGCATTTATGAGGGCTCGTGGTCCATTCTTCTTTGATGAAGCCATGTCCTACTCGTATCATTGGATATCTTTTGCCATTTTTGCAGGAGTATACACTTAAGCTCCTCTTTAGGCGAAATTCTGTATTTTCTGACAACCTGATCCAGCTGGTGATTTTCAATTCGGTTAAGGTCAGAGGGCTGAGATGGTGTTTTCAACAGGCGACTTTGTATAGAGTAATGATTCTCGTGTTTCGTGCGCTGTATGTTTGGGGTCAATGTCTTGCTCAACACAAGCGACGTCCGTTTGAGCACTTGCCTTTAAATTACAGCGCAATACGTCGATGCACTTAAGAGCTGTCATTTTACTTTCAATGGTTACGAACTCTATTAGCTTCCATAGAGCCGCAAACTAAGACTCTCTTTTTTCGGTGTTTCACAACAGGTGTTCTGTTTCATGTTTCATGCTCAGTATTTTGCTTTATCCATACATATCGCCTTCCATCTCTCCTAAAAATCTGTGGGTAAGAAGACAATAACTGGTAATTACCGACATAGTATAGAAAGTGTGTGGTTTCATTGTGATATTATTCATTAAGAGTATCCTGAATAAAATCAGATATTTCTGAATCTTCATTCCAAATTCCAATTTTAGGGAATGAAATACTATTGAAATCATACAGAGATTGACAAGTGGATAAATAAGATATTTTCCTACACTGTTGATAGAGCAAACAAAAAAAGAAAAATAATGATGATTCCACATCAGAATTCTTAGTTTCGAATTTTAAAAGAATCATCAAAACTGATAACTAGAATAGCTAAATTAAAAAAAAAAAAAAAAAAAAAGTGTCATTTCGCTGGGAAGCTGCGATTCAGTTTACACGAGGAAGTATCCCTTTAACGCATTTGTGAAACCTGTGAAACGAAGACAAAATATGAATGCTTTGCATGACGTTTTTGGATTGTGCAACGACATTTAAAATTTGGTTTCGGACAACCTTCAAAAAACCTTCATCCACTTGGACAAAAACTTTGCGAATCTTATCACGCAATTTATTTCGACATTGTTTAGCAGCATTATCAAAATCGGGCCTTTATACTCACGCGACTGTATTATTTAATAGAAATATATGATGACTTAAGTGAAAATAAAAAGCACAGCTTGAATTTTCAAAATTTATTGTGCGTAACATAGATTAATTAGAGACACATATTAACGCTACTAACTCATTTAACAAAAATTTTCAAGTAAAAAGTAGAAAAAAAGGATCTGAAAAGCACAATACTGAACGCCGATCGTCACTTATAAAATATGACTGGTATAGATCTTGTAGGCCAACGTCGTAAATATTGCAAAGTATTTCAAATTTTTTCAAATGGTGCGTGGATAGATTTTCCTTTTTGTTTAACAGATTAATGTGTAATACATACTATCTGCAAAGAGAAAGCCAGACGTGGATGATTATTTTGGAAAAGGTCACCACACATTCTTTGACAATTTTTCCAACACAAATGAACGCCACCAGTAGCCAACTGGTTAAGACAACTTACTGGCAGTTCGACCTGATTTGGTTTGGTTTATTTGATTACGGCAAAGCCCACAAGGGCTCTCTGCTTAAGGAGAGGATGCCTTCGTGAAGGACTTTCTAAGAGAACTGGTTCATATACATGTTACACATCGAGAAAACCACAAAAACGTCCATGTAACTTGTTCGCCGGAGTTCGAACCCCTGACTGAACTACGAGTATTCAACGACTTTACTACTCGGCCGCTGGTGGCCGGATTCTGTTCCACGCAAACGGCCTTAACTTGTATGGATGGTTTTCGTGGTTTTTCCCATGTGCAACATGAATGCAAGCCAATTTCTCTCAGTGGAATCCACTCCTATTAGTGGAATCACGAATAGCTTAGTATAACAATGAGCAGCGCTGATATTTGATGTTCGGTTAAACAATCCCTCCCCAAAATAGTAGTTTTAGAAAGTAGAAGTCCAACCAACTTGAGGCTCTGGCGACCATTCTTCCATGAAGTACATGGACAAGACAACAACAACAGAAAACTTAAAAAGATTGAAATCTGATAGTCATGGGCATCCGCAGGAAATTTTGCAGTATAGGGGTAAAAATTTAAAGATAAATAATTAAATCAATACATTTTTATTTAATTTTTAATTCGGGAGATGATAAGTAGATTTCAGAATATGAGTAAGCCCTCGCCCGATTCTGTAACGAGTCGAATAAGCGAAAGCGGGACATTCGCTGTGGTATGAAGTGCAGGGCACTGAGAAGGAAGAATAAAAAGTAGACAATAAATTCAACTTTAAAATTTTATATACAATTTGAAACTTAGCAATAAGATTAAACGAAATTAAATAGTAAATAAATTGTATTAAATAAAGATTTGTCGATTTGTTTTAAATTTGATTTTACAACATAGCTCAAACATTGCGCAACAAAGATCAATAGTGTTAACGAAATAAATGAACTCATGAAATTAATCAAAAACTTCACTGCACACAATGTTTCCAGCAAAAAATGGGGTTAAATATTAATGTATATATAATAAACATGTACAGTACTTTAAACTAAATCTAAACTTCGGAGTAAAAACCTCCCTTTTGCTTTGACTAAAACGTAATTAATAAATTAGAACGCAATCAGTACAATGAACACACACTTTTTGTGGCCTCATGAGATAAAAAACCGCTGACAGATAAGGAAGATTCATCCATGCGTAACGGAGGAAAGGAGGGGAAAGGAGAATTCCTATAAGATATCAGCTAAGTGCATCCACTCCAGACACACTTTTTTGTCTTCGCCTTTTCTAATATAAGATAGTATTGCATCAATTCAAAAACGCATTTTTTACTCTATTCCTGGGAAGGCAGCATGTGCCCTATCCCCTTTGCGACAGCTTATGTTGATGGTTATAAACATTGTGACGTGTTGAGGAAAATGCCTCCTATGTACAGCATTTATTTACATATTTTAGAAATAAAAATTTAAAATTTTTACAGTCTTTCTCTTTAGCTTTGGCTCCCTTCAATCTTCCCTTTCACGTGATTCTTAATAGCGCAGGTCAAAATCTTTTCTATTTGCTTGAATTCAGGCTTCATCGTATCTCCTTCCCTTATTTTCTTCACACAATGATAATATTGCTGTAATGCAATAAAAGATAGAGCAATATATCTTTCCTGCCAGTTTTAGAATACTAAAAAATACTCTGACGTGTCTGAAAGTTTCGTGATGTTGAGGTCATTTCCTTGAGCTACTTCTCCGAATTTTTATCTATCTTCACTCAGATTTTTGCATTTCGGAAAAGTTAAACTCTCATTATAACATCGAATTATGTTATCTCATCAGTACCATTTTTATTTTTGCTTTCTAACTTTAAATAACTGATCGATGAGAAAATTATTTAACTTCGCTTCTCAGGAATTTCTTGAAATCTGTGGTGCAAATCTTCTGCAATATCGTTTATTTTGTGTATTATTCAATTATGATTCCACATATGTATAGTCACGATGTCCTTTCAAGCCATTAATAAAAAAGGAATTCGAAATTGTCTTGCATCAGATGGTAAATTTGTTTTGTAAAGCCAACCATCATGGATATACTTCATGGAAATATATGCAAGGAACGTGTACGTACATTCTGAAAATGCGTTCTAATCGCTTCAATGTGCTTCACCGAAGAGCCATTACATTATGACCACACTATTAACAACATGTATCCGGTTGGGGGGGGTCTTCCACGCCTCTTCCCTTCCACCAGTCGACACAAGAGGACTTTCGAGAAAGCCTCCATGCCGTACCGACACTATACATTTACTAACACCCATGTCTTCTCCGGGATTCGAACCCAAGCCCTTCGGTACCGTGGTAAGCTCCCCTAACCATTTTCATCAGCTCCTAAGAATATGGCAAGAACTTTGGGATCAAGCCTCCACAGGGAGACGTGTTTACAATCTCATTCCCAAGGTCAAGATAACAATCCAAACTAATAGCAATTACATGACATATTTCCTCATTGGTTATGCGCCCTTCCCTTCATACCACTGCCGCTTTGGCTTGAGAGAGAATGGTAACTTTGAATGTGGGGAGGAGGGTCATCCAGACCATTTTGTGTTCTCCTGCCCACACACAGCACTTAACAGCCTCAAGCAACCAATAGCCATATTCTGGCCAAATTGGTTCCAGAATCTACAAAGTATCAGAGTTGCCCAGCGGAAACTGAAAACAATAATTGACTACTGTACTAGCAATTACTCTTCTAACGTTCTAACGCTGGAAGATAATAGTCATAAAAGTCTATATAAGGTAGTTCAATGTGTCAACAACAGATTATGTGATATGTATGTTCAATATGTAATTTGTATTTATGCTGTGCCAGGTTCTCATACATAAAGTTCGTACTGTATCTGAATGCTGTAATGCATCTGAATGCTGTAATGTATCTGTACATGTTTATATCTTTTATATTTATGGTACCTAATTTATACTAAGGAACACGCGTACCTCAATGGCATGCTTCTTATAAACTTTAACTATCATGATAAAGTATATGTATGGATGTATATATCAATATGAGTGACAGTATATATACTTTTATTTGTTTCGGAATATTTATGTATGTAAGTGTGTATATATCTGTATATGAGTTGGTATTTATATGTATATACATATATTTTGATTGTACTCTTCTTCAAGTACCTTGTATGCACATGTATGCTCTCTTTTGCATTTTATAAATGTCGTCTGCTCAGCCGGGGCTGCCCACGGCTGCGGCCTGGTAGCTAGTGGTTGATTCACACCCAGTTGGTAACCAACTCTGCATGGATATACACTGACTACCAATAAGTATTTGGACACCTGTGATAGAAAAGAAAAACTAACTTTATTCAAAATCAATAGTTGGTAGAGCCTCCACGAGAGGTAATTACAGCGTGGACCCTCCGGGGATACTTTCCGCAAGTCTTTGTATGACAGCTAGTGGTATTTTCTTTCCACTCGGCTTGGAGAAGACATAGAAGTTCTTTCACCGATTTTGCACGGGTGGTGCACCTCTGAATTTCGCGATGCAGCTCGTCCCAGAGGTTCTCGATAGGGTTCAGGTCTGGACTCTGAGCAGGCCAGTCCATTCGATGAACTCCATTGGCACCATACCAAGCCTTGGTTAACGTCGAAACATGACAACTGGCATTGTCGAAACATGACAACTGGCATTGTTTTACGGGGGTCCATCCCGTAAAACTGCCACGTAGGAAGCACATTGTCATCCAAAATAGTGCAGTAGGCATCGGTGTTGAGCTTCCCATGAATGGGGACCAAGGGTCCCAGCCCATAGCAGGAGAAACACCCCCAGACCATAATTCCACCTCCGCTGAACTTGACTGTTGGCACAATGCATTCTGGCAGGAAACGTTCTCCAGGTAGACGCCAGACCCAGACTCTGCCATCCGAACGGTAAAGGGTGAACCTTGATTCGTCACTCCAAAGAACCCGTTTCCACTAATCTATGGCCCAATTTCGATGTGCTTTGCACCATATTAACCGAGCAGCGCGGTTGGACTTTGTGATCAAAGGCTTATGGGCAGCAGCACGACCATGAAAACTAAGCAGATGTGCTTCCTTACGGATGGTATTCATTAAAACAATACTCCCGGATGCCTGTTGAAACTCCTCGCGGGTGAGGGCCATCGTTTGGGTGCTGTTCTTCCGAATTTCTCTGGACAGCACTCGTCGGTCTCTATCTCCCAGTTTCGTTGGTCTGCCCACTCGGGGCACATTCCGACAATCACCGCTCACCTTCCACTTCTTAATCACATAGACCACCGTCGATTTTGGGTACTTCAGATCGCTAGATATGTCCCTTAAGGGTCGGCCATATTTGTGATACCCGATAATTATACCTTTCTCGAAATCAGAGAGCTCCGAACTGCGAGGCATCTTGCATGCGACTAAGCCGATGCAGTTTCCTACACGATATATACCGGCGGAGTCCGTGACGTACCTTAGGACCGCTGATATCGTCATTTGCATAGGTGTCCAATTACTTATTGGTAGTCAGTGTATCTATACCTGGGTCGGAAGCCAACTCAGCGGTTTACCTCCCCTAACCATTATACCGTGTGGGCGACAGCATGCTTTTTTAACGGTTTAACTGAATACGGCAAATAACATTAAGACAATCTACCTGTAGGGAAGGAGAAGAACCTACTGAGAAGGGTACTTCTGGGAAGGGCTTAATAAAGGAAACTGAGTAGTATTTATGCTGTACATAAAATTTAAAAAAAAAAAAAAAAGCATCCAAGTAGGAAACTGTTCGCCAGGATATGAACGCGAGTCTGTCTACAACTGTTAACCAGTCTTATTCATTCGGCCACCTTGCCGTTTTCTGGCTCAGGAATAGAGTGGCCTTCTGAATCTAATAATTATGTCCCTTTGAATTAATATAAGTGTTGTTGGTACTTTTCCTTTTTGCCGGCGCAGGCGATAAATTCGCCAATAATGGTACAACTGATGCCAAACGAATATCCTCGCTGGTAACCTTTAACGCTTCATTTTCAAAACAAGGAGCATTTCTTATCAGATTGATTGTTTCTTTCAATACTGGTATACAATTACATAGACGTTTTACCACATAGTTCAATTTTATGCCCTAAGGCCATTCGCGGTAAATAATCAATTAGGATGCAATCACACCACTCACGAAGGCAAAAATATAGAAAAGGCAAAGTCAAGGGTCATCAATTCTAATGAGAATGCACTAGCGAAGTAAAGCACAGCGGTTTTACATAATTTCTGAATAAACTATTCGTACGATTTTAAATAATTCTTGCATTTAAATTGCATTGAAATAATTCTTGCATTATATTCCAAATTAAGATTTAACTTGAAATTAATGTAGATAATTACTGAGAAAATTAGATTTTTGTAGCGTAGTTTACGTGAGATGAGATCACTTGGGATAACGTGATATGAACCGGCGAATCAGGATGTTGAACCGTGAAAGCATAGTAAATTCTTAAATTAATGTCTTTTTACAAATTTATTGTTTTTATTTATTGGCTTTTCACAAAATTTTAAACGATATTAAAATGTTTATGCCTTCAAAATAAAAAGTTCTTAGAACTAACATTTGTTAACGTTTTTTATGTGTATACTGTACGTTGTCGGCATTAAATTGTGCTTGGCGAGATTTGCGCCGGCGAACCGGGAAAGTAACGTATTGTTGAACAATGTTTTTCATCCTTTCTCCTTCTGCATTTGAATCTTGAAATGAACGTGTTTAAAAAACAGGACTTAAACCCGATATCTCATTTGATTTTTTTTTTCACCTAGCACATAGTAGTTAAATTTTTTGAAACATAAAATACACATTTGGAAAACATACTCGTATCTATATTAAGTTTATTTTTTGTTACTTACGTATCATGCTGTCAATCATAAAACTGTGGCCAAGCAGTGCAATTTAGCGCCAGTAATGGGTACGCATGATGTAACAACGCCACACTTAACATCTGCGCTTTCGTTTGATGCAACCCCATTCATTCTGTATAAGCCACCATGGGGACTTACTGCTCCCAGATTTTCAGTGCTTTTGCTGTTTATAGCAGTGTCTTTGCTTGGCGACATCTATGGGTCGAATAGGAAGCGTGGGGCGAGAGGCTGCTTGCCTTTTGGGAACAGAACCTGGATCTGTTTCATGTGAGCTGCAGGCCGTAATTTCTAAACTTAGAATTGCCTGAGCTATATAGAACACTGTCAGGAGAGATGAACAAAAGCAAATAAATAAATAAAATGACTAGCAAAATAATTAATTATTACAATTAAATAATTAATTATTGGAATAATTAAACAATTAATATTAAAATTTAATAAAATATAAAGAGATAAATAAAAATATAATAAGTTATTAAATAAATCATAAATAATTAAATAATAAAATAAAGTACTCGATATTGATTTATTTCGGGTTTCGACTGAAATTATAATTTCGCACAAAAGATAAGAAATAGCTCAACTGGTCTCCAGCTTAATTAAACTCTGAATACAATGTACTACCTTAAGGGATGATAGAAATAAAGACCATTCTTTCTACAACACATCAATGAAAAACGTTACAATGGTTAAAGCATCACTAATGAAAATACTTACAATGGTGCGAACAGTAAGAGAATATAGAGAAAATTTTAACTGGTGACGTGTAGATATGAAAACGCCGCTCAACCAGTATGTGGTTAGCTTGGCTGACTGCCGTGCCGAAGGGCCTGGGCTCGAATCTCGGAGAAGGCATGGATGTTTGTAAATGTATAGTGCCAGTGCGGCATGGCGGCATTCAAGATATGCGGCGAGCTGAAAGTCCTCTCGTGTAGTTTGGTGGAAGGGAAGAGGGATGGGAGACCCTCGGAGCCTTCCTCCCCCCCAGGGTATTGTCCATCAAAATTGGGGGCGGAACTGAGCCAAAATCGCATTATCACCGGAATGGTGCTCAAGGCTGTTGCCGACGACAGGCGTAATCTAGCGCTCCTTGCCACGACGAATTTAGTGGGGCTTGGGCTGACTACGTCAGACAAGTGAGCAGACAATGATATGAAAACTAAGAAAGAAGTGTCCAACCTTTTCTGACTCTCTCAGTATAATTCTATCTATGAAGCAGAATATGACAGATGAACAAATTTTCACTAAATACGAAGGAATAGTTGAAAAAATTAACAAGTGTCAATTTTCATTCGCCGTCTTTGGTTAAATCGTTCCAAAAAATCTGCTGGTGCTCTTTTCCACGGAAAGACACTAGTGTTGAAACGAAAATTTAACCGCTGTCATAAACCCGTTTTCTGGAGAATTAGCTTTTGACATGTAGGTGGAAACTGGCTTTTCTTTCCATTAAGTCTCTACCTCCGTCCAAGGTTTTCCCAAGGAAAGCGGAGCATGCATTCAAAATTTAGAATCTATTTTTAATGTAATTTTATTTTAAAAATAAAATTTTCGAGATCAGATTTTTGCTGAAATTGTTGTTCAGTTAAAGAAGGCCTTCTTATTTAGAGCTCCGGTGCACTACGACTAGAATTATGATTTATCACCAAAATAAGAAGCACCGAAGCCGGTCTGTGGTGAGCTCCGGTGAAATTTAAGCTCTGTGTGAGCAGAATCCTCTACTACTAGTGCAAAAGAGCTCTTTTGCGCTAGATTCAAGAATTCAGACTCTCAAATTTTGAGAGCATTGATTGGTTCCGCCATATGTACTTTGTTTTTAGATTAACTTTGTTTTAAGATATAAATTAACTGTTATTACTGTATTTTTTCTTGTATTTTGGGGGAGGAGAAAAAAAATAAATAATAATAAAAGATCAAAATTTGAGACAGGCATATTACAGAGCAGCTAACAGTTTATTATTTCCAAAGTTATGGAAGCCTACCATTAAAAAAAAGCGTACATTAATGAACACTAGTCAGCTGAATATGACAGACAAAACAATAATAGATCGGAACAGTTGTGTGTAGGAAGTTTGTACTCATAGCTTTCTAAAACAGAGCTGCCGGTAAAATCGGACTGCCTAACAAAACAGTAGAAATCGACGAAAGCCTCTTCGCGAACCGCAAAGACTAAGCGGGCTCGAATACTGATTGTTTAATAAATAAAGAAGAATCCTTTCCTTCGGAATTCCGCAGGCACGATTGGCGAAATTTTCGCGCAATTACCGCCAACTGATGGTTTATTGTTAACTTAACTTTCACGTTAGACGGGAAAATACGTTAAGTAACTCCCCCCCCCCGTTTTTTGCATGTAGGTAAGAAGTTAGACCTTTCTTACCTCCATGGTTTTTTGTAGTTTTTTATAAGCTAAGGTGAAATTAATACTCATTTGATAAGGTGAAATTAATACGGACTTCTAATATGGTCGTTTTATCAAAGGAAGAGATTTTAACTTTAGAAAAGGTAACTGCGATTATTTAAACAAACAAAAAATTAAACAAATTTATTTTGTAGCTTCAAAACCATGACCAAGAAATTTTTACGGTTGACTTTAATTAGAGCTGGTGACAAACGTTATAGCTTAGAATTGCGTAAAATGAGTTTGAAAGCTTCTTATGTTACCACAAAAGAAAAGTTATACTGCTTTCATACATAATAATATCTTAAAAATAAAATTGCTTAATCCGTCATACTTACGTTGAGGTGTGAATAAAACTGAAGGCTGAGTTGTCATTAAACAGGACCGTGCACACCCTTTCGGCATAAATAACATAAATCTAAGGAAAAGTCTCTGAACAACTATTGCAAGCTTCCCTCGCAGCCCAATCGGAAGAGTGGTTAGTGACTCTGACTGCCGCACCGAAGGGCTTCGGGTTCGAATCCTGGAGAAGGCTTGGATGTTTGTAAAGTTTCTGAGCGGCATGGCGGCACTCTAAATATACGTCAAACCGACAGTCCTCTCAAGAAGTCGGTGGTAGGAAAAGAGGGATGGGAGACTCTCAGATCGGTTCCTCCGGGGTGATTTTCCTCAAAATCGGGAGGCGGAATTGATGTAAAATCGGGCTGTCATCTGTACTGCGTTCAAAGCTCTTGCCAACGACAGGCGAATAACTCCTTGCCACGATGAATGTCGTGGGCTTGTGCTGACCTTTGTCAGACAAATGCGATTGGTAACAACAACACAGTTCTGTTCGCAAGGAAAGTTTGGCAACTTTTAATTACGTCTCTTCCCTTTTATTTCGAAAAGCCAAAATTTGATTCTCTTTTAAATCACCGAATAGCAAGAAGTTGAAATTCAATGAATGATTTCTAATAACTAGCTTGGATTGATAAATCTTCTACACAGTGACTTCTCCACATATCCTCTGGCTCTTTGCGTAGAAATGTATGACGCAGTTTTGAACTTTGAAATTTTTGGAATCTGAACCAATAGGTTAGAGCTTATATTGCAAAATGTTTGCTATTTCTTCACTGAAAATAGGAAAACTAGAATATACTTTCTTCTTTTGATTTTGTTTTTTCTACAAACATTTACTTTTTGTCTTTTGCACCATCAGATTGGGAAGGAAGTTTTTCTTTTAAAATTGCTTTATTTTCAGGTCTTAATTTTGCCTACATAATTTTTAGGTTTTTCGTTAATTGCGTGTCCAATAAACTTGATTCTTCTCGTTACCATGTCACATCCGATACTAGTAATTTTTATAAGGAGCTAGTGACTTTTTTACTTTAAGTCTAAATAATTTTTATGAAACTTTTATATCATTGAGAAAATAAAATATTAACAGATAAGTTTTGAAACAAAGCTACAAATATATCACGAAACTAAGACAATGGATTAGCTAGGACATATCAAAAAGGGCATACAGGGAAATAAATTAAAACTCAACTTTTAATTTTGAAGAAAAACTTTTTAATTCCGACATCTTACATTATTATTTTGCTTTTTATGTTGATTGCTCCAGTTTTTGTTTTGTAGACAGTAGACTTCTTATAAGGAAAATGTACATTTGTAGTTCTTACATACTTCTTAAATGAGACTCACATATTTAGAAAACACTTCTCACATTTATTGCAATTGAGGGGAAGTTAGCATTAAAATATTTGAAACTTTATTAAGTACTTCTTTCTTAAGGAGGATTCTTCCGTATGAATGTCTCCATAATCATATTCGTAATTTGCATTCTAAATTTTCGACGGATTAGCAAAAGTATATAGCTGTTGAAATCACGTGATGATTTCTTTGAGTTATCTAGCGTAAAAACGCCTTTCGTCTAAATTTAATTTAGTACGACAGTTTAGAATCTAATAAATGCCACCCCTAAAAATGTGCCACCCCGAGGTAATACGCTCCGCCCCCCTCTAGCTACGCCACTGAGTTATTTATTACTACGTTATTTATTACTAAGAGCAGAAGGGTTCAATAGGCATTTTAGCTGTTAAGCTATCAACCTGTGCAATGAAGTTATGGCCCTAAGCCACTGGCTTTAAATGTAAAGCGCTTATGCCATTCAAGGAAGTCTGCATTCATACTCACTGGGCCTACCAGCGGCCGAATGGTAAAATTGCTGAACACTGGGAGTTCGGTCCAAGGTTCGAATCCCGCGAACGGGCTGGCTGCATGGGCGTTTTCGTGTTTTTCCCCATGCGTAACGTGAATACGATCCAGATTCCCTTAGAAATTCCTCTACGAAGGCATCCCTTCCTTTAGGCAGATAGCCCTAGTGTGCTTTGCCATATTCTCAATACACACCATACACAAACCATATTCACCGAGAGCTCGGTGCAGGATTCTGATACCGGCGAACGGGCTAGTTGCATGAACGTTTTCGTGGTTTCCTCACGTATATCGTCTATAGGTATTTTCTTTTAGAAAGTCCTCCCCGATGGCCCCCCTCCCCTTAGGCAGATAGCCCTCGAGTGCTTTAAAATAATCAAATAATCTAAATCAAGCCAAACCTAATTCACACCACTCTTCAACCTAATAAAGCGTGGCGAAGATTTGAAACTGAATACATATTCACCGAGGCACAGCGTGTGCCTTTGCAAACCTCACTAGACTTTCGACTCCTGCTCGCATGCCTCACTACAAGGGATAATTGCCCCTTTTGTGCAGATTCACCTCAGGATGTCATTTCTCTTGTCCACAAGGGACCTCTTATCTAATTCTCTGTTTAACTCGTCTCGGTCTTCTCCTTATTCTTTAGCCAATGCTTCGCTTATGAATTTCAATTTTTGGTTTCTATGATGTGAAATTAATTTTCATTTGATTAGGAAGATGCTTCGTAAATAAAACGTTTTGGTACTTCGTTCCGAGGAACAGCCCAACTTGCTTACAGCTAACTGTGAGTGCTGATGACATCTATGACATGACAAGAATATTGTGACTGAAAGCTTCTGGGTTCGCGCAGAGAGGGAGAATTCTGGAAACTGAGTAAACAGGTCTGTCCTTCGACCCCTCTTCTGTTCTTCTCCCCGGATTTCAGCCATGGAGGTAGGAAGTCTTTTCTTACCTACATGATTTCAGCATAGTGGGGATAGGAAGGAAGAGGTGCTTGCCCCTCGAACATTGACCTCAGTATAAGCCGGGTTCTTGGAGAAGACGTTATAACATCACTTATGAATTTAACGTATTCGAAACGACTAGTGAAAACCTAATAAACGTTAGTAGCTGAGGGTTTTATTGCTTACGCTTAAAACTACGTGAATCAAAATTAACGCAGTTTTTAGATTGCTAAATGCATTTATTTCCGAAAAACGAACAGGAATAACCAACTCAAATCTAAATTAATTTTTTTAAGAAAACTATTTTTAATTTAATAAGTCACCTGAGAGATTATATTTATGTGAGTTCTAATTGAGTAGTATTACAAATACTTATTTTTTTTTTTTTTTTTTTTTTTTTTTATTATACAAATTTTAAAGCCAAATAGTTGTAAGTATTTTTTTTAAATCTTCCTTATTTAATTCATTCATACGTAGTATGTGCGTATTAGCAAGCGTCTGTTTAAAAGTTTAACATTTCAATATGATAAATAACATGAAGTTGTCTTGAAGTTAGATTTTTTTGAAGTTAGATTCTGGCGTGCTCTCCTTTTGCAGTTTTATTACTTGTTATTTTAATTTTCTGCCAAATGTGAAATTAGATCAAAGGGCCTGTGTTTTTTTTAATTCCTTATACTATATTCAGTATAGATAAATATATAATAAAAGCCTGCAGAAAGGCGCGTGTGCTTACAGGAAACAAGGAGAAAGCTTGCTTTTATTCTCAGTTAAGAACTTTCACACAGTATACAGCAAAAGACTTGCGACGTATCAGTAATAAAATAAGATTACTGATCTCGCGAACAGACATTATTTCAGCTACATGTTAAAAAAAGGAAAAAGAAAAAGGTGTTCCTTATTTTACAAAAACGAGGCGCTTCCTTATCTTTATCATAACTTCGATTGCCTTCTTTTTTTCTTAGAACAGTTAGATAAGAGTAAGAGACAGTAAGTAGTTTTGTGTTTTTTAAAGCAGAAATGCTGGAAAATTGAACTAAGGCTCACAGACAGGGAATATATTTTGGTACGAAGGTCATATTGGGTAAGCCCGGAGATAAAGAAAGGAAAAAATATACATTGATAAGGCTATTACAACGACTGGAATACTAGCATCAAAAATATATATCCTTAGTGATGTCTCTTGACGCTGGCTTGGTAGCCACAAATAACTGGAAAATGTTGTAGGAGGTATTCCATATCTTTTTAATATCGGCTTCGCATTTTGTGCTCTCAAGTAAAGTTCATTTCTGCTCTGAAAGTTTTTCTGTGTTTCAAGTGTAATATTAGTTTTTTATTATTCATTTTTAAGAACGTTTACGTAAAAGGAATTTCGCCCTTATTGAAACATCTAAAGGTTTGGTTTATTTAATTATGTCAAAGCACACTAGGTTTATCTGCCTGAGGGAAGGGATGCCTTCGTGGAGGACTTTCTAAGGGCTCGTATACACGTTACACATGGGTAAAACCACGAAAACGTGCATGCAGCCAGCCCGTTCACGGGATTCGAACCTCGGACCGAACTACCAGTGTTCAGCGACTTTACCGCTCGGCCGCTAGTGGGATGAAACATCTAAAGGCTAATCATGTGCAGCCTATGACAAATACCGGTGTCGGCAGTTTCACAGTAATGCGAACTGTAAAGAGAAAAAGTGGAGACGTATTAAAAGCAAAACTGAAATTTTTATTTTAAATATTTTAATTTTTGGAATATAAAATAAAAGTAGACAACACATTATGAAGAACATCGAAATAAGTATAAACAAAATTCACGATCATGGTACCAGTTAATAAAGATGCTTTAAAATGTGCTGTAGCTTGGGAATATTTTGACACTTTAAAGATACAACTCACTCTTTAAGATATTTATCATTCTATAACATATACACAATATAATCATTTCATTAAAGTCTATATTTGTGCAGTCCAATAGCTTAAAATTTTGTAAAGCGAATCAATAAATTCCATGTTATCGGAAGTTAAGAAGATGTGGTTTGTGAGGAACTGCCACTATACTATACAAACTTACTCATTGGACAATGATTATTTCGTATGCGCAAGTGTCCCTCCGTTTTAATTTGTGTACAACTGAAATTAAACCCATTTATCACTGAAAATTTTGTAGTGGGAAGATTAGTCCTCACAACTATTTAGCAACACTTAATTACTATTGTAATGTAAAATTCCTCTATATGTCCGTATATATAAAGGCTCACCAGTGGCCGAATGGTAAAGTTCCTAAACACGGGCAGTTCGACATGGACTCGATTCGAGGCGGATGGGCTGGCAAGATGGGCATTTTCCGTGTGTACGAGCCTTTTCCCTTAGTAAGTCCTCCACGAAGGCATCTCTGTTTATAGACGATAGCCCTAGTGTGCCTTACCATGTTCAAATAAGTTAACCTTTTAGCATGTACTTTCCTGCTTTTAAACACTGCAATGCGCAAGAAATGTGATTTATTTTTCACTGAGAAAATTTCGAAGGCTAAGTGTTGACTGAGGAAACAGAAAAACTTTCTTACATATACGGGTTGGTATTCTTATACGTAAGGGTTGGGTAAAGCACGCGATGACTATCTGCTTTAGAGAAAAGATAGTCTTAATGAAGGAATTTATAAGGGAAATTAGTTTGTATCCACGTTACACGTCAGTTTTAATTAAGCAAGAAAATAAAAACCTCAAAAGCAGATTTTCCATTTTCCATAGCAAAGAAGTAATGCTATTTTTGTCCCGACAAATTTTCTGCTATATAGAGGGGAACAGATTACGTAATGAAGAAGTCAAATTAAACTTTTAAAAATCATTATAATTTACTCGGCCGCTTATAATCTGTATACATAGTTTATAAAATGAACTAATCTTCAGAAAATTTACGAATTACATAGATTTACTATATTTCATATATTATATATTCGTAAAGTTCATTATAATTTTTTAACACAGAAAATCTTTTCTGTAATTCTGTGCATCTTAAAATAATTAGTTCCACTTGAAGGTAACTCATAAAACACGAAATAAAAATCGGCCGTTTTTTTTTTTAATTAATAAGTATAAAAATATTACCTTTTTTCTTTCAGGTTAATAGCGTTTTACTCACTTGCATTGCAAGCTTTTTAATTTTTGGATCCCTCATTTTGATAGCACCAGCATCATTCATCACATCCGAACAGTAAGTGTCGCTATTATTAAGGTAAATATGCAAACAAGTGCATGAAATTTCAATCTGTTTCCCAGTTACAATACTTCCAAATAATTTATAGAGTTCCTCACTTCGGAATTCTAAGTTAATGTTGGAAGTGAAGAATCTAAGAACTGATAAGCGACTAATCGCTTGAGTTCGGTGACAAGAAACAACAAGATAGAAGGGTAACTAACCCTTTATTATTCCAATAAGATTTAACAAAACTCCGCCTGGGAGTGTACAAGCAAAGCCCGCACTTGAACTTAAAAGATTAAACTAAACTATGATTAACTAAAGAAGTATAGCTGAAGCTATCAAGGTTCAAATCGAGTTGGCCCCTTAACTTATTTGACTACGAAGCTTAGCAAGGGCCTGAGTACGGCCGAGCGTAATAACCGCTTTGAGAGAGAAAGTGGCTAAAAAGGCAGACGCGCTTAAATCAGAAACTCTGATTCTCTCTGACTCAGTAAGTAACTTCGTGGTTTAAATACCGCTTCTTCTCATTAAATATTCAGCAAGATTCCAAAACTACGTTCTGGCCGGAAGTAGTAAGTTGAAGTTAAAAATTTGACAGGAAAGGAACTTTAACTTAAAATTTAACTTTTAATAAAATTAACATAATCCTTACAAATTCTTGAATAATGCCAAGTTAGGACTTCCAAAATATATTTGAATTTTTTTTAGACTTATTTTCTGACAAAACTTATTACTGCGAAAACAGGAAAATTTATTTTCAATACACTTTACTGAGGCAAAATAATCTTACCTAAGTCGATAAAAGTGTTGCAATATCTTTGGGAAAATATTGCTTTTAAAGAACTGATTTCAATTTCTTAAAGATAAGACATAATACTCGCTTGAAAAAATTTTAATTTTGAGTTGGCAAGCATAAAAATAGCAACTGATTTTTAAGCATATGTTAAGGATTCACATTCTTTAAAATGTTATCTGCGTTTAAAAAAGGAAAAGCTACTTTCAAAACCTATTTTTCCTGTCCTCTAATAAATAAAATAAAATAAAAATAATAATAATAAAAAAGAAGTTTAACTGTTTCAGTCAACCCGAACGCTGACCGCACACGACCCGATTGCGGACCGTATAAAAACGTTAAAAATGTTATCATAGTGAGAGCTGTAGAAATGTTATAGTATTACAGGTTTTGCATTTAAGACTCTTTGCCTCTTATTAATAATGAATCGGTGCCCCATATTTAAGATATGGATTTTAAAATCCGAATTTTAAATATGGGAATCAGGATAAAAGGTACGAAGCAGATAAACTTAGCTAAATCTCCAAAAGTATTTTAATGTAACTACGTGCGAGGAGTAAAATTAGTAAGCCTATTTTTCATCCTAGAAATGCGCCAAATGGCATAAAAATTTTAAAAGATTCAAATGCCTATTTCAGCTTTTTTACACAGCTTAAAAAAGGTTTTGGCGTGTTTATTATTGTATTATTTTAAAGCTTCAAAACATGTTTTTGTTTTGTTTTAACAAAAACTCCGCTATTAAGCACTACACGGAAAGAGAGGGATGCTCTGTGGAGGACTTTTTAATGGAACTTGACTCTTATCTACGTTACACATGGAGAAAGCTAGGAAAACGCATATGCAGTCACCCCTTTCGTTGGGACACGAACGCCGGATCCAGTGTTCAGCGACTTTACAGCTCAGCCCCTGGCGGGTCTCAAAGCCTGTTTAGATTCAATTTGCTCAAACACATCGCGATAAGAAAGGCGTCTTTTTGCATATGCGAAGCGAAAGAAAAATCGTTCAAATTTCACTTATTGTATGGGATTTGCTTTAAGTACAGAAATACTTAAATGATAATCAAATTCCACTCATTCTTCTTCCATAATATCCTTGATTATTGTTTTCACAGCGGTAACAATGGTTTTAGTGATCACTTCTGGAAGGTACAAGCGCGCACAGCCTTTTAATCTGCTTCCCAGGGAGCAGCCACTTCCTGTAAAAACCAGTGGCCTAAGAAAGCAAGTTGAGAAACACAAAGTCATCGGGTTCAATACGTCCTAGCATCACTTAGTTAAGAAAGCATAAATAGCTCTGTAAACAATTAGTGATTTAAAATCCTGTGATTACCCTTTTTAATTTGATATATGCTGTTCTGTAAAAGTTAAGGGCGCAGCAGAAAATTCTACATAACTGGAAAAGATATGCTTTGCCTGACTGAAAAATATCATTTCACATTACATTTGGTGTACAAAAAAATAAATAAAAGACTATAAACTATGAAAACAAACAGAACTAAAAGATACGGCTATCTCTGACTTCAGTGTCATGAGATCTCAGGGGGCAATCATATTCCTACGACAATTTTCAAGTCTTTCAGAGCAATTGAAACAAGTACATGGGCAGAGCAAGTCCAAAGGAATAGCAAAGATCTTCGCTGGGGGAGGGGAGGAAATACGGTGGCCACTTCATTCTCGAGGTTCCAGTAGACTTGCTATATGTAAACGAATATTATCGTCCATAAGAATAAATATCGGACTGAGAGCTTCAGCGTACAGTTTTACAGTGAGATTAAGGACTTCATCCCAACCCCGTATAGGCTGATGAGATGACCTAGAGAAAATCCAACCCTCATCATTACATTGCCAGTATCGTAGACGTAGTGCTCAGTTATATACTATTATTGGACTTGTATATTGGACTTGTTTCGTTATATATATCGAGCTTTCTCCAGATCCCTACACGTTTATTACCAGATTCCAGAACAAATATTGATTCACTCGTGAAGAGTATGTTGACTTTTTCAGCTGCTTTCCAAATGTACCTGTCGACTCTACTTCAGCCATAAACCCCGGCTTTGACGCTTAAAGAGATACAAACTCGTGAAACGCTGGTATGCATTTCTGTCATATGCTCTCTTCGCCGTTGAACAGTGACCGATAAAAGAGACGGGATCGACTTCCCTTAAAATAAAAAGCCAAACGCTCATCTTCAGAGGGTGATGTAACGCTTAGGCGACTAGAAAAGATCTCTAGTAGGCAACTGATCCATTCGTCTGAAATTGTTTCCAAAGGTAAAAAGTTACACAGTGAGCAAGAGCAAAAGGGGGGGGGGAGACTGTTCTGCTTCACGTCGGCCAATACCATGCCAGCTTTGAAAATCCTCCAGCATAGTCTTGAGCCGTAATTAATTTTATCTAGTCAAAAAATACTCAGACTCTCTTTCAAAACTTTTCTATCAGGCATTTAAAAGCATCTATTCAGGAAGGCATCGTCTTCAATCGTTGCCTAATTTCCATGTTAGTGGAGAATAAATCCTTATTGGTTACATCACATGATATTTGCATACCTCCTTCTATAAACGCAGTGAGTTTCCTTCATCGAACTGAAATACGTGTTTCAAAACTCAGAATTTGCACTGTGCGTTTAACTTCTAGAAAGCACATTAAAAATGTATCAATAAAATTAAATTACATTGCGTCACTTTGGTTGAAAAGTTATTAAAATTATAATTATCATAAAATTAATTTATTAAACATTGGATTATCAAGTTAAAAATTATGTTATTATACTTAACATTCTTTTACAAACTCTTTTATTGCAACAGCTGGGACTCGATCACATTAGTAATTATATTTTCTTTTATTTTCGAAATTTGCAGCTACCAATATTGCAACGACGCATACTCTAATCTTAATCTTCAGAAAATTAATGACATTCCTGCACATTCTCTTGAAGAAATTTCTACAAATAAAAGTGCCCAGATACAATTTTAAATGCAGAAATTATTACTGCAGGAACTGAAAAGTCATTGCTAACATTATGCGTGATGCGCTATCAAAGTGATAACCTTATTCCTGTGAAATGTACTTATGGTGTAGTGTTGTAGTGTCACAAGTCTTCATGTTGTACGTCGATCTGGCATCAGAAAGTCCCGGGTTGCTCGAAAATAAGTTAATGACCCTGTATTTCCTACCAAACTAAATCACAGCCAACTGGATGGTCAATTCACGAACGTCAAGGCTAAATGGGGTTGCAGATAATTCGTCATCTTTGATCTGGCCAGCTGTCGCGTCTCTCTTTCCCTCGTAAGCCTGCAGAATTTGGTCTTCTTTGGTAACATAAAATTAGACCAAAACTCTAAAAAAGACAATCTGTGAATTATCGCTATCATTTGTAAGCATCACAGAGACAGGGAAAGAGTGTAAAGGGCCATTTTATTAACTCAGATAAAGTTTAACAGTCGGCACCAACTCGTGCTCACAGAAGCCAACAATCATGTCTTAAATTAAAGATAATGGAAGAATTAAAATTAATGGAAATAAGCATAGCCAAACGGCTTCACAATTCCAATAATGTGCAAGCTGACTCTTAACGAAGTCGACCTAAATAAGCCTAATAGCAAGAATAACTCAACGCTACAAAATACTAACAGCGAGAGAATCAAATTTAGAAACGTAGCCTTCAAGCAGGCAGAACACGCTCTGATTTCATTCTCTAAATTCTTTAAATACTCTTAACTTTCTGAATTATTTGAATATCGCGCGAGCTAGAAATTTACATTATGGCTGAGAAATAGAGAAGAGATCGATAGGAAAGTATATTAACAGAAAATAACTGGTTAGAAACTTAAATGATGTTTTATAACCCTTTAAATTGTATAGGGTAATCTAAGGAATAAAAGACATTCCTTTCCATATATGTCCTCGTGCTGTAATGGTCAGAACATCCAAAGAGCAACTGAAAGATCTCGGACTCGATTCCTGTAGTAGACACAATTGGTGTTTCAAGATTCCTGCTCACAAATAATCTAATGATGCTACAAACTAATAAATATTTATCACTTTGCCAGTTCGCGGTTGTGCAGAAAACGGTAAGTGCGTATTAATCACTTTGTTCCCAATATCTATAAGTATGTACACCTCGTTTATAATTATAAGAAAAACAAAAGTGAAAACGGTTTAATGCACTCGTCAAACAAAACAATTATATGAATGCAACAAAAAATGGAAGTAAACATATTATGGTAATTTTAAATAGAAGCTTGAAAAACGGAAAATTGGCCTTCTTATCATGAAGGTATAGTGAATAATATTAAACCACTTTAAACTGTAAATAATGAAGAAATGTGTTTTAAATATTTCAGATGATTAATAAAAGCCAAATGAAAGGGAAAATGATTAAACATAAAGATTCAGGATTATAAAACATAATTTTAAAAGCTTCATCATCTCTAACACTACTCCTTCCATGGTGATTATTATATGTTTAAAATTCTATCTTTTGGTTTTGTTTCAACGTTAACACTTATAAAGGGCCATTTAAGTAATAATCATGTACTGAACAACATGATTATTAATTATTTAAAGACTGTAATAAACATTCTGTTTCAGATCTCTTTCAAACGTATCAGCAGCTCTTTTACTCCATGGGCTAGGAACAGCAGGAAAATTGGCTTGTGTTGCCTATACTATACAACGAGATTTAAGGTATGTGGAAATTTATCATTTCAGATATTGATATTAAAATATGAAATTAATATTCTTATATATGTAAGATAAAAATATGTAAGCAAACTTCTAATTTTAATTGGCTACAACCTCTTTTATTTTTATTTAATATGGGGACTTTCTCTCTCTGTCTAAAAATAACGCCATAAGTCTAAACTGCGTCATTCAAATTAATCATGCGATCTTGCGTAACGCTTAATGCAGTTATCTCTTGTCCAATCAAAATAATTGTTTAAACTAAAACTTTTTTGACGCCTTTCTTCCTCTGAACTGATGCGTCACTTATGCTTGGGCTTTCTTTCTGACACTCGCTTTGCTGCAATCATCTATGTGCTGCTAGGATCTTTTCTATCGTCATGGTATCAAAATTGTAAGTGTTCTGGAAATAAGCACGATTAGAGTGCCCAGTGAATTGTGACCAAATATGTGAATTTAAATAAATATGGAATTTAATCTGGCTCGACTGTTTCTTCTTCAAAATGGATGCACGCTCTAAGCATCAAATACATACGTTAAAAAACATGGCTACGCATTTACATCTCAGTGTTCTTAAATCAGAACTTCCGAAATTGTGCTATAATTATATATGTATATATATATATATATATATTCGTAAACAAATTACGCTTGACTTCTAACGCAGAGTTTTGATTGCTCAACCCAGACCTCTGATATAAGAATTAAATGCATGCTTGTCTACCTACCATTTCACTCACAGAATGTTTCAGTTTCAGTTAGTTTGTCTTTTCATATTACAAATGAAAGAGATTTTAAACACTTTACAATATCATTTCATACTGTGAGGTATATACTAGTTTTATTATAGTTATTTTCATTTGTTAGCTTTTCTATCATTTCTTCTTTTTCTCGCGTTTCCTCGCCAGAATGATTCGGCCCACCAGCGACGCAACGGTCGAGTCGTTAAACACTGGTAGTTCAGTTCGAGGTTCGAATCCCGTGACCTGATTGGCTCCATGAGCGTTTTCGTAGCTCTCCCCATATGTAACTTGTATACGAGCCAGTTTCTCTTAGATAGTTCTCCACAAAGGCATCCCTTCTCTTAGAAAGATAGCCCTCGAGTTCTTTGCCATAATCAAATAAACCAAACCTCTCCAGTATGTAAATCAGTTAAGGATGAACGAGAGTGTATTTAAACTGAAGTAACGAAAAGGTTAGGAACAGCATGTTTCCTTACAGAATGAGCATGTTGCTTTTTTGCCAACTGCTTGAATCTCTGCTTCACAGTTTTGGTGCCGAGGTTTGATATTACGCAGGTGTAGGTTTCTGAGTCAACCTGCTAGGTTAAATCAATTTGTGTAGTCTTGAACTACTAGCTTATCTTTAGATTTAGTTTAGTTTACCATTATCTTTAGTTTTATCTCCACAGGCGGATGGTGGATTTGTAAGCACAAAGACTGTGCCTTCTATAAACAACTGAGTTCAGTAAAAGAGTCTTTTACACTCTTCCTCTGTTGTATTCATCTTCTAGGCTTAGCGATAAGTCGCTAACAGACTTTCAAAGTATGTCTAGGAGCAGTGTATGCTAGCCAAGAATTACAATATTGTTCAAAATATTATAGTTTATTTGTTGCTTAAAGCTCTTCACAGCTCTTTGGAAGTTTAGGAAATTGTACATATTTTAGGTAATATCCTCTGTGAAGGCACTCACCGTGGCAAGGCATTCGAGAGTTATATGTCTTCAGAGAAATATCTTCGCGAAGGACTTCCTGAGAAAAATCTAGATTGTATTCATATTAAACAAACAAACAAAAAAAAAAAAAAAAACTTACAAACATTATAAGTCAGCACATTCATTCGCAAAAAACGAGTCAAAAGATAAGCTACTAGCATTTAGCAAGACACACTAGTGGCCGAGCGGTAAAGGCGCTGGACACTGGTAGTTCAATCCCGGGCTCGAATCATAACGAACGGACTGGCTACATTGGAGTTTCCGTAGTTTTTCTTATGTGGAACGTATATATGAGCCAGTTTCCCTTAAAAATTCTCCAGGAAGGCTATCCCACCCCTTAAGGGCCATTCACACTGGGGCTTATCTGAGCTAACGGAGTCAGTTCCCTGTGTCGACTAGCTCCGCTATGCCTGCAGTTCAGATTTTTCAACTTGCTGCCCTATGGGAAAGAACTGGTTTTAGAGATAGGTCGGCTACGTTAGTTGTTCCCGTTAGCTCAGTTAAACCCCAGAGGAAACGACCCTTTAGGGAGATAGCCCTCTAATGCTTTGCCATAATTAAATAAACCAAACCAAACTTTGCATTTAGCAATTTTATGCATTCCGCAGCTGGCAGATATATAAGGTTTCCTGACAGAATATTAAGAAACAAATATTTTTATGCTCATGAATATTAAACTTCTTAGATATAATTTTCAAGTTTTGCTGGTGAGCTTTGCATATCTATCAGAGGTAATTTATTCAAAGTTTATGTTGAAGTTCAATTAAAATTACCGTTTATGAGTTTTATTGTTATTTATTTATTAATTAGTTTATTGCATAATTCTTTCATTTATGTACGAGGTGTTTCGGTAAATGGTTTTAATCTCTCACATGTACGAATATTATAAGCTTTCTTAGTTATTTCGCGCTTGATCTGGTATTCAGGTCATCAACACTTACTCGACGGCGAATTTGATCACTTTCTAATTTCTTTTGGGTAATTTTGGGATACTAATACTTTAAAAAAGAATTAAAACCATCCATCCCCCTCCATTCTCTAATATAGTTTTAAATAAAGCTAAAAACTTCATAGGATTTTCACTTTTAAAAATGCATTCACGTTCCACGTTCAAATTCTCTACGTCGATTCTCTTAAAATAAGGAGGCGAAGGTAAATTTACGATATGTAAAGCATAGTAAAGGCTTACAAACAAAAGGTATCTACAAGTAACTGCCGTTTGCGTAGTCATGCCATTTTTCTTTATTTTATATAATAAATATATTATATTTATTTTATATATTTATATTTGTATTACATTTATTTCATATAGCATTTTAAGCTTTTATACTAATAATGAAAACAATTTTCGTTTTTGAAGAACAGAATACTTTCTTTGTTTCTTTTCTTTTTTAAATAGCGTAAAAGTGAAATGAATGAATAAATCCGGGAAACTGCTCATTTTTACATTAATTATTATGCTGGTTTAACTTAAAGCTGGTATCAAGCTAGTTTCACTTAAAAGAGTCGAATAACAAAACAACATTGATGACCGAAGAAGTACGCTTCAAATTGAAATTTTGAAATCGTTATCATATAATTATAAACAGGAACATTCATTAAAATATTTTTTTGCTAAATCATATTTCTTAGTGAGCTGAAAAATATAATTTTGTATGCCTTCGCCGGTTACTGCACTTGCTGACGTATGTGATGCATACCATTTTCAAAAAGCCTCTTTATATATATATATACTATACATATATGTGTAAGATAAGAAACTTTTTCTGGACTGTCTCATTTCTAGATTAATCCATCATATGACTTTTAAATAACGATGATGATGAACATTTCTCTTACTAAGCTTAAATATTGAAATAACTACGCACTTTGCTTCTGCTTCACAGCGAAAGTAGACTGCTGCTTGCTACTGCTCTTCTTACCACACAGTTGTCAAAGATGCAAATATTCTAGAAATAGGCACGATTAGAGTGAAAAGTGAATTGTGGCCGCAAGTTCAATTGAAATAAAAAATTAATATTTAATCTGCTTCGGCTGCCAAATTGCTCTTTATTGTGGATCTCAACAAAGCAGTCAGTATTTCTACGTAATTACTTCAAAGTCGACAACAACATTATGTATATATGTATATATATGTAATGAAACTGTGGTTTGAAGGTGGCAGAGTGGAAAGCATGATGACGCAATTTAGCACAACATATCTTGAAAAATCACAATCTTTATTTTTTCCATGCGTATCAAATCATCCTTTTTCAGATAAGATACTTCCTAATAATATTTGAATAGAATAACTCCCATTTTGAAGTACGACGTCATCTTAAGCAAGTAAGCGGCAGCAGAATGGATGAAATGCATCTTACCAGCAGGAGAGCTAACGCGGAAAAGGGAAAGGTTATAGTACTTTCATAGCAAGAAGGCTGAAGTTTCAGTTCCACAGTTTTGGTTTAGAATTAGTTTGATTGGACGAGAGGCATCTGCATTAAAACGTTACATAAGATAGGAAAGTCTGGAACCTGTGAGAAGAGATGAATTTAGGGGCAGATTACCAAATTTAGAATGTTAATTTTGAGGTCATCAATTATATTTTGAAACAGCTATCATATTTTGTTATGTCTTACATATCCCCCTGCAAAAGAAAAAGTTGGGTGAGCAGGGTGGAAGAACAAGCATTAGAGCAGCAAAATGTGAAAGATATAATTTTGAAAATACAAACATATTAACTTTTAAACAAAAAAATTATTGTCATAAAATTTTGACCGATATTTTGACATTTCATTGAAAGTCATAAAATTTTGAATTGAATAATGAATTTTAGCACTTTATTACATAAAAGTAGCAAGACAACATAAATTAGAAAGACCTTATATATACGTTAATCATATATATATATATAATTTATTTAAATCCCATCACTTCACGGAACTACAATTTTGGCCTAACTTAATTTGCCAGTTTGGCATCACCATTCTTACTTGAGTAAAAGACGAAACACCTTCGCATTTATTAATTATTTTTCATTGAACGGGAGTTGGTTTGGTTCCCTTGAAAAGTCAACTATTTTCCGATCAATAGTGATAATTACTTGCTTTTAATTTGATTTCTATTTCAAAGTTAGAAATTTTGTTATTCATGATTTAAATTCAAGTCCCCGTAAAACAGTTTTAAAATATAGCCAATAGCAAAATATATATATATATATATTTTTTTACTATTTCTATTGCCACATTGAAAAATATTCATTGTAAAATATAGTGGTGGTACTAAAGTTTTTCAGTTTTTGTTTAGATAG